ATCACATAACTAATTTTAAGTTTAATATTAGGTCAGGCCGGGCTGGGCTCGAGCCGGGCTATTTTGACAAAACCCGAGCCCGGCTCGAATTTATTGTGGGCCAAGCTTTTTGGCCCGACTTTAAGCCCGCGGGCATATAAGCATGTTCAAGCCCGTCCGGGGGTCGGGCCGGGCCGGCCCGTCGGGCCACCCGACCTATGAACAGGTCTAATGGCCATCATGGCTGATTGGGCCCACTCTAAGTAGTTTGAATCATTAAACTTTACAGTTGTAATCTGGAAGGTGTTTTCAGTCATGCCACCTGAACCAGTCCCAAAAACACCCTCCCCTTGGTTAGGGGTTAAGCAAAAAACACCTTCTATTTACTGTAACAATCAACCTACTAGGTCCGAAAACTAACGATAGTAGGTCTAGAAGTAGAAATCAAATTCAGAGAAAGAAAAAATTTCCAATTCACTATATAACTGTATCAATCAACCTAATAAATTTGAGAACTAATAGCAGTTGGCCTAGGTACAGAACTCCAAAAACAGAGATCAAAGAACAGAAGTCTAATAGCAGCCAAACTTAAAAACAAGTCTAATATCTTATCCGGACACAGTAACAGTCCTGGATTTCAGGGTTTTCTCTTAAAACCCTAGAAGAGACAAAGAAAAAAAAATCTATATAGCCATACCTCACAAATTAAGTTATCCTTGCTGCTGCCCTCAAGAAGGAATAAGACCTTACCTAGGAATTTCTGAAAAAACATGATCTTGATTCAAAAATCTTCCTGAAATTCTAATCGCCAACTTCAGTTTGCTCAAAACTGATATTGATTCTGATCAACCCGAGAAACTTCTGAAACAGAACTGACTTCGAAGAAAAATCTTCTTGATCGCCAACTTCAGTCTTGATGAGAGAACCAAAAAATCTGATTGGCACCTCTAATCTTTGATCAAAGACCTAACTTTGATCACTTAATTCTTCTCTGATTCTTCCTGATTACAAAGAGCACTTTCCTATCCTTGGACAGTTGCTGAAGACTTCTTGTAATCTCCAAGAATTAGTCAAATGAAAAACTTTGCCCTAAATAATCCTCATGTGGTTGGCTGAATTAATTCCACATGAGAAACCCTAGATCGAATGCTCTGATACCAAGTAGTCGCTCAAGATTGAACAGACACTTAAAAGGAGAAGAAAAAATTAAGAAATGAAGAGGGAGAAAAGAGAGAGAGAGAGAGAGAGAGAGAGAGAGAGAGAGATTTTGATAAAAGAGAGTTGGGTTGATGTTTGAAACAACCTCCCCCCTCTTAAATTTATATACATAGTATCATACTTATAAAATGACTGAATTGCTTACATGGCAAGATAAGATAAAGCTGAAAAAAAACTAATCCTAATCTTATAAAAGACTAATTCTAATCTTATCATAAAGAACTAATCCTAATCATAACTTATTGCTGACATACGAACAATGGGGACCACCTTAGTGGGGTTCACATTAGTGTTCTCTACAATCATACAAAAATGGTAAGTTAAGATATTCTTTTTAAAACTAACACTTGTATAGTTGTATAAAAAAGCTGCCTGCTTTTCCAAGATTAAACCCATGTACTCATTTGTTCTTGTTTGCTTTGAAGATTGAACAATGAAGATAACCCCTCTTTCAATCACTGCCTCAAAAGTAAAGGTATAAAACTAAAGGCATTGTACTCTTGGATGCATCACCCTGAGACAAGGTGGGGTCGTTTTTTTTTTTTTTTTCGTCCCACCTTCTATGGGACTAATTTTCCACTAGTTGTAGAACAACTATAAAGAAGTATAATCCCTTTAAAACAACATAGTTAAATAGTTCATTAATATACATGACAGTCAACAGGCAAGAGCTGAGCCTGAGAGAAGAAAAGAGTGTCGCTGGCTCTATTTACTAGTACTAGACAAATCTTGCCACATGGATGTATGATGTGGCCAATCTTATTACATAGAAATCCATGCCTTTGCCATGTTTTCACTCTTCAAATCTGCGTCAGCCTTATGGTGTTGTGCTAATAGATTTCAGGCCCTGTTTGAGAACACTTAATAAGACATGGGACTACACATTAAGTGGTTTTTAAGTATTTATGGGTGTTTGGTAAAAAAGTGGGGAAGAAGTACTTCTTTGAAAAAGTGACTTCAAGTTGCCTTTTTTTTTTAAAGTATTTATTGAATAAGTACTTTTCCAAAAAAATAGGACGAACCAGTCCCTGATAAATTTTTATAATGCCTAAAATACCCCCACGCCCAAAAAGCAATGTTCATCATCTTCTCCCCCTTAACATCAACACAACATTTACTTTCATTCTTCCTCTCTCCTTCTCTCTTACCCATCTTGATCATCCCCTTCTCTTCCCTAATGAGATAAAATGAGATTTCCATCCTGTTCATCGTCTTCTTGAATCGATGTCATAGGAGATTTCTTTGAACTCAGCTTCAGCTTCTCAAATTCCTACCAATGGGAGAGGATGATCCCGAGATGGACAGAAATGAACTCCATCGAATTCTTTTATTCGGTGATGGAACTTCCATGATGGGGTATAGCAAAAATGAAGGGGGAATCCCACCACTGCAGTGCCTCTATTATCATCAACAATGGTGATGAACTATGACTTAATCGACAAGAAAAGAAGACAAATAGGGGACTAGAAGAGAGGGAAAGATGGACAATGGGATAATAGAGTGAAATTAGAGGGAGAAAGGGATCTGGTTGCTGCCGACGTTCGGGTGTCGAAGAACTAAAAGAGAAACGTTCAGCCACCGCTGGTTCTCTTTTGGAGAGGAAGATGAACAGTGTCTTGTTTGTGGTTTGGTGGTTATAGAAGAACAAAAACAAAGGAGAAGAAGAAGAAAAGGAGAGATAGAGAGAGAGGGGGAGAGAAAGACTAAGGAGAGGTTTTTGACGCTCTCTATCGCTCGAAGGGAGAATAGGAGAGTTGCAGCGGCGACAACCTCCCCCCTGTTCATCGTCTTATTATTATTATTACTGTTAATATTAGTTATTATTATTTTTATTATTATGATTATTATTATTATTATTATTATTACTACTACTACTATTGTTAATATTAATTATTATTTATTTTATTATTATTATTATTAATTGGATCTACATGGCGACTCACCTGGGGTTTCATGTGGGCTCTTAATTGAAATGCATAATATAACATGTGAAAAGCATTGTATGTATGTACAGTGAAGTGATGATTAAAATTGTCATTTGTGTCAATATAAGTACTTATAGAAAAAGTGATTTGAAAAATAAGTTACCAAACAACTTTAAGTAATTATTAAAATAATTACTTTTAAAAATTACTTTTAAGAAACAAATACTTCTTTTACCAAAGACTTAATCATCAAACAGCGCCTCAATCGCGCATTGGCGTTGGAAAAGTTTCCGTCACAAATGTGGGGGCTACGCATCCTCGTGTGCTTAACCAGTTAGGTGCGAGCAAGGGAAAAACGAGGGAACGGTCGAATAGTAGAACCCCTCTCTTTTGGGGTTATATGAGATAAAGGCAATTTTTTGTCCTCAATATCAATAAAAAATAATTAAAATAGATAATTTTTCTAAAAATAATATAAAAAAATCAAAAAAGGGCAGTAATACTGTCATCGTCTTCTTCTACTCCTCTCTCCAAAACCAGTTAGAAAATCCAAGTTCCTCAGTCTTGAAAGTGAACTTTTACCGGAATAATAATCGGAATCCTGCGAAATGAGCCATCCTCAACTCAACCTTTTTCCATTACAAAGACGTTCTTGTTCAAGACAACGTGAATTATTTCTTTCACGGCAGAGGCAGAGCAACCTTGAACGGTCTCCTTGGCGGGTGTGCCGGGGATGTGAGTAGCATGGTGTTGTCCTCTGATGAGGACTCCTTGTGCTCGTCAAAAATTTTCCGCCACAGATATATATGACAACGGATTGTGCTGAAGGGTGTGGCGGGAGTGGCGGTGCTCTGATGAACTGCTACTCCCGTCAAAAATATATCAGTAGCGGGTGTAGCATTGTGCTCGTAAAAAAATTTTCCGAATCTCAGCACCGCCGGATTCATCGTCTTCTTTAACTAGACGTGAATAAATCCGACGTGTTGGTTTCTCCACTGTAAATCTGTAGTTAGTAAAGTAGTAAAAGCTCCATATAAGTAGGACTCAGGAGTCAGGAGGAAATGCTATTAATTAGGTGTGTGGTAGTCTAATACCGACGATGTCCGGAGAAATTGCGATAGACATGAAATTTTTTTTGGTTACAATCAGAACTCTGCAACTAAAAGGGCATCCATCCATCCGGTCTTGCTCTCCTCTTGCAGAGGCGGATAGAGTCGTTCCATCCATCACTTATTCACTCATAGTCATGGTCTCATGGATAATGTAATGGGTTTCTAGCAGATAAGGACAATTTTTTGCCCTTGATAAAAATATCATTCCATCGTCTTCCTCTTCAGAGAGTAGCAGAGGAAGACGATGAACAGTATTACTGCCTTTTTTGATATTTTTCTAAAAAAGTTATCCTGTTTTAATTATTTTATAAAAATATTACTTTTTATTAATATTCAGGGCAAAAAGTTGCTCTTATCTGATATAACCCCCTTTCTTTTCAACTTTTATAAATTATAATTGAATCGAATTCCACAGGCATTTCGACTCAAGGTCCACCGTTTCTCAACCATAAACGATTCCGCATTCCTCTCTGTTGACTGATAAGAATCGAATCAAGCAGACGTCTTTCGATTACAGTAATTGGCCATCTTCATTCTTCTATTTGTGCTATTTCTATTTCAGATCGGAGTCATCGGACGGCTCGATCTATGATTTTTTGTTCCTTCGCGCATAGTCTTTTAGATTAGTGAAATACTGCGATCGTTTTGTTCAAGTGCGAAAATTCGTCTTTTTGTTATTTTTCTTACTATATAACGCTGAGATAAGTTCTTTCCAGTATTCAAGCTTTCACATGTAGTGTATTTTCCCCTTTCTTCGATTATTTTATTATGTGGATATTGTTTATATTGCTGAATTGGAGATAATATGAGGCATTTACCTTAATAAATATGATCTTTTAGGCGTTCCAGAGCTTCTGTTTTGTTTGATTTTGCTAACTCTCTGAAACATTTATGGTCTGCCGCCTCTTATTTCTGTAGTGAAGCTGTGCCAATGATTACACAGGCTAGATCTGATGAAGTTTTTGAAGATTTATTCTCGTCTCTCCCTCTCTTTTTTTTTTTTTTTTAATTTCTAAACCAATATTCTGTTGAAGCAGAGCCTCTATTTTCAGTGATACTTAAAGTGGGAAGAGACATCTAGATCTGATCGATTAGTGTAGTCTCGTGATCCTTTTGATTGCTTATATATTCTTCTCTTCCATTTGTCCTCGTCCCCTTTCCCACTGCATATCTGTTTATAGAAGGAGCTTCTGTATGAAAACCATTTGAAACTGAGGAATGGCCAAATTCCCCATACGGTTGGTCCCCCCTGGTTGCAAATTCAATCCAGCATATTAACTTTTGACATGTTTTGCTGATTTCTTGAATATTGTATGATGTTTTTGTTTCAACCATCTACTTTGGTCTTTTGTTTTTAGATTGTTAGTGTTTGTGAGATCACGTGGTATTACCAACTTGGCTGCTTCTTTAATTTCCCCCCACCACCACCACAAAAAAAAAATGTTAAAGAAAGATTGTGCACTAAACAAAACAGGAAAATCATACACAAAAAAATGTAATTGCTTTTCTTACACCTCCCTCAGAAACTTTTATTGGAGTACCAAAATTGATTTGCAACTCTTGTGGTCAATGCAGTAAATTGTAAGAATGGAGGGGACTGTATTCACACCCTCTCTGGAAGGAATGAAGCATGTCAAGTCTGAAGAAGGGGAAATGTTAACCAAACCTTTCTTGGATGTGTGCAAGCTGATATTGCCTGTTATAGGTATAATTTTATGCTTTTATCCTTTTGGGTTTCAGTTGGCTGAATCAAATTTTCTCCTGATGCTTAGAGAGCAAAAAATATGATGCTTCTCTAATGAAGTTGGTCATGTTTTGTTTAGTTAAGGTCACACATATTTGCTTATTCTTGCACATAACCTTGGAATTATGGTTTGAATATGTTTCAGTGCCCTTTGGTTGTATAGTATCTACAATTGGTACTGGAAAAAAGCTTTCCATTTTATGTGTATATGCTACATTTAATAAATTCTAAGTGAACTATGGCAGATATCATCATCATCATCATCTAAGCCTGTGTGGCTGTTCCAACTATGTGGGGTCAGCTACATGAATTCTGTTATGCCATTCCAGTCCTTTTCAATATCATATCCATTGTTAAATTATGAGTCCTTAAATCTTTATTACTACTCAAACCCATGCCCTTTTTATATGCCCCTAACTCATACAAAATTGGATGTCTAAACATTGTTCCCTTAGTTCTCTTCAATACTATTATGCCTGTCAGAGACAGATCAAAAAGACAGAGAGGAGAACACAACAGATCGGTAGGTGTGTCGCTTAGTGACTGTTGACACCCTAAAAGAAATATCTATATTAAAGAAGTAAAAGGACAAGTCTGCCCTTAGTGTACAAAGGAAAAAGTACAAATAATATAGATGTACAACAAAAGAAAAGTAAAAGTACAAAAATAGCCCTGCAACTAGTTCTTCTCACTATCTCTACACTCCCCTTCAAACTGATGCCTAGGAGTGAGCATCAGTTTGTCCATGAGAAATAAGTGTCGGGCTCAAGTCATTGCTTTTGCCAACAAGTCCGCTAGTTGGAGGCTAGAGGAGACATGAGGAAGAGAAATGATGCCCTCAAGTAGAAGATCACAGATGATGTGGCAATCAACTTCTATGTGTTTGGCGCTCATGGAAGACGGGGTTGGAGGTAATTTTTATTGCACTAAGATTGTTTTCAAAGAGAGGAACTGACGGTGATGGCTCATTAAGAATGTCAAGGAGGAGAGCTCGGAGCCATATAATTTCATTGCACATTGAGGACATTATTCTGTATTCAAATTAGTAGAAGATTTTGATATAGTAGGCCGTTTCTTACACTTGAGAGTTGCCTAAGAATACACACCAGCCAGTAGTGGACTGTTGGGTATTAGGGCATCCCACCCAATTAGCATTTGGATATGCAATAAGGCTAATGGGGGATGAAGAAGAGAAGAATTTCCCATGTGATAAAGTTCCCCTCACATATCTAATAATCCGATGAACTGCAGATAAGTGTGGTTGTCTTGGGGAAGACACAAACTGGCTCACCAGTTGGACTGCATATGATATATTTGGTCGAGTTATGGTGAGATAGATTAGACTACCCACTAGTTGATGATAAAGAGTAGGGTCTTCAAGAGGAACCATCATCCTTACCGAGCTTCAAATTTAGTTCCAATGGGGTATCCACAATTTTGGAATCACTGAGATTGGCCGATTTGACAAGATTAACAACATATTTTTGTTGATTAACAAAGCAACCCCGAGAATTTTGGCTTACTTCAAGCCCCAAGAAATAAGTTAGAGGACCCAAGTCTTTCATCTTAAATGACTCACCAAGCAACCGTTGCAAGTCAGCAATTCCCTTTACATCATCCTCTGTAATGAGTATATCATCGGCATAAAGGAGTAAGATTGTCACTCCCTACTTTCGCCGTAAGGTGAATAGAGAGTGATATGAGGAACTCTGTATAAAACCAACATTAGTGATAACAGATCCGAACTTCTCAAACCATGCTCTAGGAGCTTGTTTTAAGCCATAGAGGGATTTCTTCAGGCGGCAAACAAGTTGTGGATCCAAGCAATATCCAGGAGGGGGCTTCATATACACTATCTCCTTCAACTCCCCATGGAGAAAAACATTCTTCACATCCATCTGATGAATTGTCCACTGTTTGGTTGCAGATATAGCCATCAGAAGTCGTACAATGGTCATTTTTGCTATGGGAGGCAAGGTCTCCTCATAATCTATCCCATATTCTTGTTTATACCTTTGTGCAACCAGCCTAGCCTTGTATCTGTCTAGGCTTTCATCAGATTTCAGTTTCATAGAGTAAACCCATTGACTTATGCCTCAGGTGGAGCTTTAATCAAATCTCATGTGTCATTCTCAAGAAGAGCTTGGATCTCAGAGTCCATAGCATCTTTCCAGTGTGGTATTGCTATAGCCTGTTGGTAAGATATGGGAGTATTTGTGGTAGATAAAACAACAACAAAGGAACTATGGTCCGGTGAAAAACCATAGCGGTTAGGAGGACGGGAGATTCTAGAAGAACGACGTAAGGTGAGTGCAATCGGTTTAAGAGGAGGGTCGGGAACACTTACTGGGGTATATGGAGTGACTAGATTAGCAGTTGGTGGTAGAGAGGAAAGGGGCATTGAGACTGATGTAGACCATTGCTTCTTGAAGCAAGTCCGAAGTTTCTATAGAGGTGATGTTGGTATGCTTGAAGTACCTGTAGAATCAAAACTATGCAACAAAGAAATAGAAGGAGCTGGAAATTTCACAATATGCTCAAAGAAGGATACATTCTCAAGGAAGATTACATTACGAGAAATTTGAAGACGACGTGCGAAAGGATCATAGCAAAGGAATCCCTTATGTTCAGGGTTGTACCCCATGAAGGCACACAAAATTGCTTGTGCAGTGGGCTTTGTGCATTCATGAGGTGGGAGATGAACAAAACAAGCACAACAAAAAACCCTGAGCATAGATAGATCTGGAGGTTTGTGAAAGAGAGATTGAAAAGGAGAGAAATTATTTAAGACGGATGAAGGAAGACGATTTATGAGATACACAACAGTACTGGCCGCCTCCACCCAAAACCAAGAGGGTACATGAGAATCTTGTAATAGGGTTCTGACTACACTTAATAAATGCCCATTCTTTCTTTTTGCTACCCCATTTTGTTGTGGGGTACCTGGATAGGATTTTTGGGATTGAATTCCATGTTTCAAATAAGTTTGAAAATCCCCATCAAAGTACTCTCCCCCTGAATCTGATCAAAGCATACATATTTTGGCATCAAATTGGGTAGCAACATAGGTATGAAATTGTTTAAATATAGAATAAACTTCAGAAGGAAAGAGTAAAATGTAACTCTTACATAAACCACAAGTTACGCAATCTTTATTAACATTCTTAAACGAAGTAGCAGAAACAGGTAAATTACCAAAAACAAACAACTGATCAAGTTTCGTAGAAAAAGGATGGCCAAGGCGTTTATGCCACAAATATCAATCATTATTACAGTTAAAGGACTCAAAACCATAAGTAGTAGAAAGCAAATACGAAGTAGGAGTGAGATTAACTTTGTTCTTCTCAAACTCTAGAGCAAATAGTCGTCCCAACCTATGCCCCTTCCCCTTCACCTCCCTAGTTTTCCTGTCCTATATCAAACAACCATCAGAAGAAAATCAAACAATGTTACCTTCCTCTACAAGTTGGTCAACAGAAATCAAATTGGTGGTAAGCTTGGGTGCAAATAATGTTTTGGGTAAACAAAAAGGAGAGGACTTAGAAGTAGATAAGCATGGGACATCACAACCAAGTATATCTAGTTTTTCACCATTTGCAATAACAATGTGTTTATTGGGAAGATGGGGTTTGGGATACTGACCGAAAGTGGCCCCCTATCATATGGTTAGAGGCTCTAGAGTCAATAAACTAGAGGTGATTTGGTGAAGGGCAATAGGTCGGGGACTTACCAGATAAACCAATAGTAGAGAAGGCTGAAGAGATGACTGAGGACATGAGTTGTCGAATCCGTTCTTTAGACGTACCACCGGAAGTGCCATTTTGGCCAGCCACTGAAGTAATGGAGGAGGAGGCATCTGATCCCTCTATAGTAGTCTGATAGGCCTTGTAGTTCCCTTTCTTTTGATTTGACCCACCACCTTTCTGGGGCCGAGTAGGTTATTCTCTAATGATATGGCCGAACTATTTACAATAAGTACATGTATTCTTCTTCTTGCAATGGGAGACAACATGCCCAAACTCCTTACATTCATAGCACTGTATTTTTGAAAAGTCCTTATTCCCCTTTCGTTGCTAGGAAAACAACATCAATGTTGGAATCTTTCCTTCCATCAAGAGTGGTCGTAGCAAATCTGGTTTCAGCCCTCAAGATTTCCCCAAGAATAGTATCTAGATCAGGGAGAGTTTGTCGGCTAAGGATGTTAGATCTCACAATTTCAAATTCAAGTTTGAGATGCATTAGGAAATGCATAATTTTCCTTCTATCAAAGTGCTCCTTCATATACTTCACACAACAATCTGAAGGATATTTTCCCATGTGCACTAACTCATACTCTGTCCAAAGGTTAATAAACCCTGCATAGTACTCTTGTACTTTCCTTTCTCCCTGATAGTACGAAAAGATGTCAACTTCTATTTGGTACTATCTAGAGGTGTTCAATTGCTGATATACCTTCTCAAGATACTCATACATCTCATAAGCAGTCCTATATCCTCTCATAGGTATTGCAATGTTGGTTTCAATTGATCCTAGGATCCATGATGCAATTTTTACATTATCAATCTTCCACTGATTAAGACCCTTAATATCTGAATCATCAGGTTTAGCTACTGATCCATCCAGATATCCCCAAAGACCTTTTGCCTCGACATGAAATTAAAATTCCATAGTGCCTTTTTGATGCCATTGAATCACAGGAGATAGCAAAACACACTTCCAAGCAAAAAGAAGGTTCAAATCAAAAGAAAGAAAGAGGTATCTTTCATTCGATGTCCAGAAAAGGAAACTATAAGGGCTTGACGAACTCAGAAGTGGCTCAAAACCCTTCTAAATCAAATCTGATTCAATCCAAACCAATGGGAATCAGTAGATCTGCTCTGGGCAACACCAGATCTAAAGTTTCAGCCTGATCCGATGTCTCTACAAGAAGATCCAAAGGGAAAAAGAAATCTGATGGCGCA